AACATGGAACAGTGGAGAACCTTCCCAGGAGTGGCCAGCCGACCAAAATTACCCCAAGAGCGCAGCGACAACTCATCCAAGAGGTCACAAAAGACCCCACAACAACATCCAAAGAACTGCAGGCCTCACTTGCCTCAGTTAAGCTGAGTGTTCATGACTCCACCATAAGAAAGAGACTGGGCAAAAATGGTTTGCATGGCAGAGTTCAAAGACGAAAACCACTGCTGAGCCAAAAGAACATAAAGGGCCGTCTCAGTTTTGCCAGAAAACATCTTGATGATCCCCAAGACTTTTGGGATAATACTCTGTGGACAGACGAGACAAAAGTTGAACTTTTTGGAAGGTGTGTGTCCCATTATGTGTGGCGTAAAAGTAACACCGCATTTCAGAAAAAGAACATCATACCAACAGTAAAATATGGTGGTGGTAGTGTGATGGTCTGGGGCTGTTTTGCTGCTTCAGGCCCTGGAAGACTTGCTGTGATAAATGGAACCATGAATTCTGCTGTGTACCAAAATATCCTGAAGGAGAATGTCCGGCCATCCGTTTGTGACCTCAAGCTGAAGCGAACTTGGGTTCTGCAGCAGGACAATGATCCAAAGCACACCAGCAAGTCCACTTCTGAATGGCTGAAGAAAAACAAAATGAAGACTTTGGAGTGGCCTAGTCAAAGTCCTGACCTGAATCCAATTGAGATGCTGTGGCATGACCTTAAAAAGGCAGTTCATGCCCGAAAACCCTCCAATGTGGCTGACTTACAACAATTCTGCAAAGATGAGTGGGCCAAAATTCCTCCACAGCGCTGTAAAAGACTCATGGCAAGTTATCGAAAACGCTTGATTGCAGTTGTTGCTGCTAAGGGTGGCCCAACCAGTTATTAGGTTTAGGGGGCAAACACTTGTTCACACAGGGCTATATAGTTTTGGATTTTGTTTTCCCTTAATAATAAAAACCTTCATTTAAAAACTGCATGATGTGTTTACTTGTGTTATCTTTGACTAATATATAAATTTGTTTGACGATCTGAAACATTACAGTGTGACAAACATGCAAAAAGATAAGAAATCAGTAAGGGGGCAAACACTTTTTCACACCACTGTATGTTGATGTCTGAGTGACATTCTATTAGCTGGATATGAGCTGAGGGGTCAAAGGTTGTACCATAGGGCTTCACAAAACAAAACATAAGATAAAACTTTTGACATGCACAGCCAAGGATGAACTTAGTTCTTTGCAGTTTGAGACATTAATCAATCATTTTAGCACAAGGGCTTGTTCCAGGCAAACAAAGCTAATTTCATGGTAAAACCTTGAGTGGCTTCTTGAAGGTTACTACTAATTGGGGCTATTTATCAACACACCCCAGCCAATAGTGACAAGTACATGCTCTTTTCCCTGGTTCTCATTACCACCATCTGTAATGAGGATAGAATGTATCTTTGGATTTATATACAAGGGCAACCTAAGAAAGAGGAAACAGTTTGGTCAGTCTGTAATGGAATGAATAATTTGGTATTCTCTGTAGAATTTTTCCATACAGGGCTAAGGTTGACTGCATGTCCTGCAAAACAAATTGCTGCTCCCAATAAGCCATCTCTCTAACTAATGTACCTGTTAATAAGTAAGCCCTTTTAGCTAAAATAACCATACCCAATTTCATGAACTTTAGACATCCGGTGAAATTAGTACATAATACATGATTAAAACAAATATGTATATGTATCCTGGTTTTGTTATTGTCTTCTTATGTTATACTGTTACATGTAATGTACTTTGCTGTGAACTCCATCCATCCATGATTTATACTGTTTATTCCTGAATAGGGTCACAGGGCAGCTGGAGTCTATCCAAGCTGACATTGGGCAAGAGGCGGCGTACACCCTGGACAGGTTGCCAGTGTATCACAGGGCTGACATGTAGACAAATAACCACACACTCCCACGGGCAATTTAGTCACCAGTCAACTTAAGCAGCATGTCTCTGGACTGTGGGAGGAAGCCGGAGTACCCAGAGATAACCCACACAGGCACAGGGAGAACAGGCAAACTCCTCACAGAAAAGCCCCGGGTCAGCCTGGGCTCAAACCTGCAACTCTTGCTGTGAGGCGACAGCACTAACCACTGCATCACTGTGCCGCCCTTTGCTATGAACTCATTCAGACCAAAGAAATAGCCTGGCTCTGCCCTATTTGTCTTGACTGTTGAAAAATCAGCTTTAGGAAATAAATGTAAATGTAAATTGTTGACCTATTCAAGACTGTTCTGGCCACAATACACATGCTAAGTGGTGGAGACACTGTAAGACAATGTAAGAGCAAATGATTGCAACCACAACTTTATTATACCTGGGTGCAGTACACCCGAACACCCTCTGTGTAATGTACTGTAAATGTGTAGTGGGGGTGCAGTGTGCGGTCATTGAAAATGTTTTCTGACTTATGTTCTTCACACAAAATGAGTCATGGCAATTGAGTTTGAAAAAATAATTACTTGTATCTTTTTGCTTTAGATAAAAAGTGAAAACGGGTGTGACACACCCGAAACGTACACAAGGGTTAAATGATTACTTAAATTGGGGTGGTTTGTCTGAATTAATTTAGTCGGCATCACACTCTAGCCACGACAGTAGCTTACTGTCCCTATAATGGCATTACACCTAAAAGCAATATTCCCCTGATAGTTTGACCCTCATAATATGATTCCTTGACCATGAAAACTTACCCCATGAGCAATTACTAAGTGCCAGAATCAGAATCTGCTTTATTGGCCAGGTGTGTTGGACACACGAGGAATTTGACTCTGGTACATCGGCTCTCAATGTGCAAACAGTAAACCAGCATAAGGCTGTGTAATATAACAAAAATAAGCAGTATTTACAAGCAAAAGAAAGTGCAAAAAATGCAGAATAAGCAGTATGAATGCAGACAACAAAGGAATGTTCTTTGAAATGAGATAGGGATAAAAATAGAGTACTTTAAACAGAGTACTAGAGACCTGTACGAGTCTGTATAATCTGTACAATGTATATATACACAGGTATTGCACTGAGGGTTATTGTCCAATCATACGGTCATTGGTTATGTTCGAAATTAATAAATTAGTCAGATAATTATTAGACTTTAATGTGTGTTAGTAATGCAGTTTAGTAAGATTCAAAGTCTGCTCATGTGTGCTCTGCTTCAAGGTTAGAAGATAATGATGATTCTGAAAAGTGTACCTTGACACCAATTGTTTTCTTGTATTAATCTTGTGTAAGAATTATGTCTGAATGAATGTTTTAGTTACAGGACTTCATCTGTGTAAGGGGTTAGCCCAAAACTGATAAATGTATTAGGCTCTGTGTTTCCGTGTGCTTTTTTTCCCTGCTCTCTTCTCCAGCAGCTTGTCTGACGGAGGGAGCCCTGGGTTGTGTTCTGTAATCCTTTTATATGTATATATATATATATATATATATATATTTGTAAATAAACCAGCACTAGAATCAAGAAAGATGGACTGCTTCCTTACTCAGATCTGTCCAGTAAAAGAACTGGGGTATAACAGTTAAGTGTTCATCAAGGTGACAGCCAGGGGGAAGAAACTGTCCCTGTGCCTGGCTGTCTTGGTGCACAGTGACCTGTAATGCCGTCCAGAGGGGAGGAGTTCAAACAGATTGTGTCCGGGGTGTGAGGGGTCTAGAGTTATCCTCTCCACCCTCCTTTTGACCCGTGTGATGTACAGGTCCTCCATGGAGGGTAGGTTCACACCAATGACCTTTTCTGCAGTCCTGACTGTCCGCTGAAGTCTGTGCTTGTCCTGTTTGGTTGCTGAGCCAAACCAGACAGTGATGGAGGTGCAGAGAACAGACTAGATGATTCCTCTGTAGAACGCTATCAGCAGCTCCCGGGGCAGGTCGAACTTCCTGAGCTGGCGCAGGAAGTACATCCAAAATAAATGCCCCATGCAAACTGAAATAACAATGTACACTTACAGACTTTCAGAGACACAGAGAACACACCATTTGATTTCACATACTGCAAGTCCACTTTAGAGTTTATTTTTTAATGTGCCTGCCTGCTACACTTATTAGCTCCATTTGTGCCCGACAGGTGTGCTTTCACCACAAGGGAGCGCTAACATAAATTCAACAGCCTTTTTAACATTCACAATAGTGAAAAAATGTTAAAAAGATTCCTAGGTCTGCATGACAATCTGGCTCAAGAGCAAAATCTAATGGATTGTTTTTAATCCAAATCTATTTATTACATTTTGAGTTGTGAACAAACCAACCAGCAAACAACCCAACAAAAAAGTAAAAGAATATAAAGATAACCTCCCTAGTCGAGGTAATAAAGTATAAATGTATAAATAAATGTATAAATGAGATCATGAGCAACTAAAAATACAAAGTCCAGATAGAGAGAAATAAAATGTTTGTTAAAGTTGACTTCCCTTGTTATTTAGATGTTTCACCATGGGATGCTTTTGTCACAACTGTGCAGTGAGTCAGGCTTTATCAGACAATAGCTACTCTACCTACCAAAGCCTGGAACTGCTTTTGGGCATTTTCACTTAAATATTTTTGGGTTAGTCCTGAAATGAGTTTATAGTGTGAGAAAGAGAGTTATTTTGACAGGATTTCAGCTGCATGTTGGGTATGTTTTTGAGTTCTGTTTGATCCAGCAGTCAGCCAGTAGATGCTGTCAAAGACTATTGGAGCCAATTACCTTCAAACTGGCATGTCAAGCCAGACTTTTCAAATCAGAGAAAATATATTTTATAGTGGGTTACATCAGAGATACAGTAGCTGAAGATGTTATCAGACTAAATAAAACACCTTCAGTTCAGCTGTGTATCTCTAAAATTGACACATTTGCAGCTTTTTTCTTCAAAGCCACGACTCCTGGAGGTCCATGGAGTTTTCACCTCTGACAACAGTATAATAGACTTCTACGGAGCCCCGGAGGGGACATGGGAGAAAAAAAAATTTCCAACAACTATCTCGAGATCTCGCAAAACTATCTCGAGATCTCGCAAAACTTTCTCGAGATCTCGCAAAACTAATGCAAAATTTTCTCGAGATCTCGCAAAACTGTTTCTCGGGATCTCGAGATCTCGCAAACCTGTTTCTCGGGATCTCGAGATCTCGCAAAACTGTTTCTCGGGATCTCGAGATCTCGCAAAACTTTTGTACGTGCTTCGGTTTAATATAACATCCCAGTTTGAATAGGTGAGTCATGGAGGAGGATGTGTTGCAATTCCTCAGGTCGAGAGCGGTCCCTCAGGATGACATTATACGCATGCAAAGAGACAAGGTGGGTTGAAAATTCATTAAACAACTTTAGTATTTGCATAGCTTGCACGTTTTATAGTTTTAGATAACTAGACTAAAGTTTCTAGATTACTTGGAGCTAACGTTAGCGTAAAGTTACTCGTCGTTAACGTTAGCTGTCATTGTCGTTCATCGCTGTTCTATCCCATTAAAAAAAATGGGATAACTCTAATATACTGCCGATTTCTATGGTGTTCATTTAGCATCAAACTGAAAACTCCACGTAACTTAAGTATCAGAATTAAAAAGAAAGCAAACCAAAGTTGATGAGAATATGAACAGATGTAATGGACTTTGTGATAAAGTAAGCCAGTCTTCTTTCAGATTTCTCAGTGTAGTCTTCATGTAATGCTCTTTTATATGGTCACAGGAGGTGAAACACTGAGAACATTCTGACTTTGGATATTTGTGTTTATTTTTATATTCTTGTTTAATTTTTTTTTTTTTCATGTGCAGGTTGATAAGGCAGTGCTATCCATCATGACTGATGAACAAATGGCCAGATATATCTCTTCATATGGTGACCGGGTTGCTGTCCTGTCCTTCTGTCAACAAGCAAAGTGCAGTACTGACAAACACACTCTTTTACAGAAACTGCGAGATAAAATAGGAACACGCAAAATGAAATCAAAGGCAAAGGGAGCCATGTGTGGTACATCATGTGTGTTCAAAAAACAAGGCGAAGGGATGGCAAGACATAGAAATAATGCAGGAGAAAGCACTTCAAGGAAGATTGAAATTGGATGGCTTCATTTCAGCAATAATGACTACCAACAAGTGAGAACCAGAAAAGGTGGTGGAACAAGACATGCAACAGTTGAGAAAACAACAAATATTGCTCAGATTTTGCAGATGAGAAGGGAGCTTTTTTTTTCAAATGGACTTTCAACAAAAGGTCGAGTGGAAGACTTTACCTTTCATATCTGTGATTTTAAAAGACACCAGCTTCCCATGGATGACACTGTTGGCCACCTTTATGAACAAACTAAACTGAAGTTGCTTCGATTTTACATTTGCACACGAGAACAAGCACCTTCAACAGATGAAGAATCACCTGAAGTGGATCAATGTACTGTAGATTCCTTATCTAAGGATTCATCTGTCAACATCTCTGAGGGAGCAGATCTACAGTTGACTAGCCAGGGAGCCCATAGTGATGTGGATGATTCAACCACAGATCAACTGGAGCATGGGCATGCATTTGACAGTGACACAAGCGAACAGGTTTGTGATACTGATAAATAAAGCAGTGAGTGATGATGATACAAGTAATAAAATGTATCCCCTGTATACTGTATGTGTATGTTGGTTGCTGCTGTATCACACAGGTTCTGATGATGTTAAAGAATTTAAATTATTGCT